GACACAGACGTATGCACGAGCAGTCTCTATCGCCCAGGAGGTAGACGCTAGCATCAGAAGGTAGGCCGTTCGTGATCGTGCTCAGCCATCTGCCCCAGCTCAGCCAGTTGCAGTTCCACCAGCTCTACCAGCCCCTCAGCCAGCAAAGGAGAAGAAGAGAAAGGGAAAAGGTGCCCCGGCAGATAAGAGGACCCGACGGAGGCTACAACAGATTCCACCATGCCCGACTTGTGGTCGACTTCACAGGGGAGAGTGTCGCGCAGGACAGGATATCTGCTACTATTGCCAGGAGCCGGGACATTATGCGAGTCGCTGTCCGAAAAGATTTCAGCAGCAGCCTCAGCAGCCACCACAGCAACAACAACCACATCAGTAGGCACAGAGACCGCCTCAGCAGCAGCAGCAGCAGAGGGGCAGGCAGCAGGCCAGGGTTTACGCGGTTGATCAGGCGGAGGCAGCCCATCAGCCAGGTACCATGTCCGGAATGGTTGTTCTCAATGATATTCCTGTGTTTGCGTTATTCGATACTGGAGCAACGCATACCTTTATTTCGCGATGGTGTCTCGACGCCATTGGAGTTCATGTTGTTACCGCTGTCGATCCTCTCGAGGTGAGTCTAGCCTCGGGACGAAAGATAGTGACGTCAGCTAAAGCTTCAGATCTTAGCCTTTCTATCGGTGGCCGAGTATTGACTGCCGACGCGTTTGTTCTTGAGATGAAGGATTTCGATCTTATTCTCGGGATGGATTGGCTATCCTTTTATCATGCTGACATCAGGTGTCATGACCGGGAGATCACTCTCTATCTTCCGGAAGATGAGTCGATTATTTTCTTCGGCTCCAGAAATCGTTCACTGCCTCAGGTTGTTTCGATGGCGAAAGCCACTAAGCTATTGCGACGAGGCAACTGCCAGGGTTACCTGGTAAGCCTTGTTGATGATTCACAGAAAGCGCGGACACCTCATGATGTTCCAATCGTTCGCGAGTTCGTGGACGTGTTCCCAGACGAGCTTCCAAGAGGACCGCCCAACCGTCAGGTGGAGTTTTCTATTGATCTTATTCCAGGGGCCGGTCCAGTATCCAAAGCCCAATATCGCATGGCGCCTAAAGAGTTACAGGAGCTTAAGACTCAGATTCAGGAGCTGTTACGACTCGGTTTCATCCGACCGAGTGTGTCACCGTGGGGAGCACCCGTTCTCTTTGTTAAGAAGAAGGACGGATCCATGCGAATGTGTATCGACTACCGGGATCTCAACCGGTTGACGATCAAGAATAAGTACCCGCTTCCCAAGATCGACGACTTATTTGATCAGTTGAGGGGAGCCTGTGTATTCTCGAAGATTGATTTGCGATCAGGCTACCATCAGCTGAAGATTAAGGAGTCAGACATCGCTAAGACCGCTTTCAGGACTCGTTACGGCCATTACGAGTTTGTTGTCATGCCTTTCGGTCTCAGCAATGCGCCAGCTGTTTTCATGGACCTCATGAACCATATTTTCCATCCATACCTCGATCAGTTCGTTATTGTCTTTATTGATGATATCCTTATCTACTCGAAGAGTCAGAAGGAGCATGAGGAGCATCTGAGAGTGGTCCTTGAAACCCTCAGACGAGAGAAGTTGTACGCCAAATTCTCCAAATGCGAGTTCTGGCTTCAGCGAGTATCTTTTTTGGGTCATGTTATTACCCAGGCAGGCATCGAGGTGGATCCTTCTAAAGTTTCAGCCGTGCAGAATTGGTCGACACCGAGGAGTCCGTCCGATGTTCGCAGTTTTCTCGGGTTGGCTGGTTACTATCGCAGGTTTATCGAGGGCTTCTCCAAGATTGCCCTCCCTCTTTCCCAGCTGACGAGGAAGTCTGTGAAGTTCGAATGGACTGACAGATGTGAGGCGAGCTTTCAGGAGCTCAAGAGGAGATTGACTACAGCACCGGTGTTGACTATTCCCGATCCTTCTCGGAGTTTCACTATTTTCAGCGATGCTTCGAGACAGGGCTTGGGATGTATCCTTATGCAGGACGGACGAGTCGTTGCGTATGCTTCACGTCAGCTTAAGCCTCATGAGCAGAACTATCCTACGCACGACTTGGAGTTAGCAGCAGTCGTTCACGCCCTGAAGATCTGGCGACATTATCTTTACGGCGGACGCTGCGAGATATTCACAGATCATAAGAGCCTATAGTACATCTTCACGCAGAAGGAGCTTAATATGAGGCAGCACCGTTGGCTCGAATTGGTCAAGGATTATGATTGTTCTATCCAGTACCATCCGGGAAAGGCGAACGTCGTCACGGATGCCCTAAGCCGGAAGGTAAAGGGTGACTTGACGTACGTCATCACACAGCAGAGTCCATTGATTCATGAGTTTGCCCGGATGCAGCTTCAGGCGATCGATGCACTTCCCATAGCTGTCTCGGGGAGTACCAGTGCCAGTGTCAGTGCTATGCAGCTTCAGCCGACACTGAGAGAGAGGATCCGGCGAGAGCAGGCTTCTGACGAGTTTGTTCGTGTCATGGAGGCCAAGGTTCGCGCCGGAGGTGTACAGGACTTTCAGCTAAGCGCCGATGGTGCCTTGGAGTTCAGAGGCAGGATCGTGGTCTCAAAGGTCGAGGCATTGCGGAAGGAGATTCTATCAGAGGCACATACCGCACCGTACTTGGCCCATCCCGGGAGCACGAAGATGTACCACGACCTAAAAGGGTCGTTTTGGTGGAGAGGCATGAAGAAGGACGTCGCCGAGTTCGTGAGAAGA